ATTTAAAATTGCAACTCGGCGTTGTGAAGACGTCACAATAAATACTTACTCGCTTTATTTTATTTTTTCGGAACGTCTTTAAAGTCTGTGAGGATTTTGTCATGCAAGAAAGGAAACTCTGGTATGACTTGCTTTAGTAGCTCTTCACCTGAATATTCGCCAGTGTCCACCGTTTTACTACGATGCTGGTGATACACTCTTGCCAGATTGAGCAAAAGTAACTGATTGAGTCAAACCTAACGATTCGTGCTACTTCTGAGCGACATAAAATTTTAAGATAAATTTTCTTTCTGATCAAAGTAAATAAAAAAATAAATAAATAAACGTAGTGTTAGATTTGGCAACCAGTTCGTGTGGCATGCCCTTCTTTTTATATTAAGAATTTACCAGGCGATTTCAGAGAAGCTAAACTTTTTTACGGTTTACCAGGCGGACTGCCTGGTAAAACGTAAAAAAGTTTAGCTTCTCTGAAATCGGACACGGAAATGGTAACTATTTCCGGATACGATACATAAAACTTCCTTATTACGATGCGGAGTTTATAACCCAGGCCTAAATGAAAACTTATTTTGCTACAGTAGCCACTCGTTATATATCTATACTAGCTGCAAGGTCCCGCTTCGCTGGGTTTTTATTTGTATGTAATATAGTTTTTTTATATATATATAAAAGACTGTTTTTCTAAGTAATCTAGAATCTAGCTGCAAGGACCCGCTTCGCTGGGCAAAAAGTAACGATAGTGAAGATTAAGATAATTACATTATAGCTAATCTTACCCGTTTTCACAAAATGCAAGAATTAGGTCCCTCGTTTCCAGACTAATTAGAGAATTTTTACGTTTAGTCAAACGAACTATTTTCAACGTTTCTGGAACGTTTACAATCGTTCTATAATCGAACCAATATTCGAATTTTATGTTCGAATTTAATTCGAACAAATTCGAACAAAACATTCGAAATAGAAAGCCACTTTCAACCACTTTCAGCCTCATATCTCCCGCACCCTTATAGCTATCGAGACGCAACCACCCCTATGCACGAATGGAGACTTGGGGCTACCACCACATACAAACATTATTCACGTGCGATGTGTAGTTTTTGCGTAAAAGTGAAATATAGGGACATACATGTCCATTTTTATATCTATATATAGATATAGATATAGATATCGCATTCAAATATATTGTTCCCTTTTTATCTTTCAAATATAAAAGCGCTTTATTCTATAATTTTTAAAAAACCAGTAGCCATTAATTTAAAATTTAAATTTCTACTGGAAATAATATATTACTCGGTACTTTATTTCAATCTTGACCATTTTAAAAATCCACATAAAACAAGTCGGTATGGAGATTGAAAATAGACAAAACGCGTGAACGACATAACGGATGAATCAATTCATTTGTTTTGTCTGCCCACGTGCGCTATATAACGAGGGTTACTGCGTATTTATTTACATGAACACAATATGTAATTTTTGAAATTTCAAATATGTGTAATATTTATATAATATGTAATATTAGAGGAGTTGCGGCCGACGTTTTCATCGGCCGCAACCCCTCTATTATATATTGTACATTATATATTAAATTCATAGTAACTATAGATTGTTTGCATTGAATAGATACGAATATGTCCTTATGTTAATCCATAACAAAGATAACTTAGGAATGGGGAAACTTTTTAAATTTGTTTTTTAGAATCTGACCTTTTCAAAATCGTGTTTATGACAGAAATTATCATACTTCAGTCAATCACAACCCTATAATATAAGCGCGAAATAAGAATTTTTCATAAAAATATCCCTAAAATTAATCGTTCTCTATAGCATATAGCAATGCCATCTATTTTTCCTTTGTTTATATAATTTTAGCTTTTACACACACACACTGTCTTTCACGTTTATTAACGAAAACATGGGAGTTGTTCTTGCAAATCATTTATTTTTCCCGGAGCAATGTCAGTCGTCGAATATGTCATAGTTATTCGCGTTCAATGTCGTCTTTATTGTGTGAATTATTTAAATTTATTTTTTATTAACTATTTCATATTTTAATCAAAAACATTGCATCAGCATTATAATAAAATGATAAGGTCAAGATGCTGCTGGCTCGGCTCCATATAGATCTGTACAAATGTTTATGAATACTTTCTGTTGTTACTGATAATTTCAAATTCATTTTGTTAAAAAATATTTTCAACCTCTGTTTATAAACTGTAGATTTCAGAGTAAAATAAGTATTCTAAGGATTTATTCTGTGAAAATACTTTAAAGTTCACGGTGATTGTCGGGATTCATTTCACTTTTGTGACTTGCATAATAAGTGATTGTTGTATAAAATATTGTTTTATTTCAGAATTTTTCTAGAGAAATTTTACTACGTATGTATTCGCTACATAACAAATATTATATATATATAGGCCTATAATTGTAGAAATATATAGCTAAAAATCAAATATATAATTATATTTTAAACATTTTTCATGAAGTTATTAATATTTTAAACTTTAAAAATTTTTAATCTTTTAAAATGTTTCAGTTTATTATAAGATTTTATTAAGCAACTAGCTGCAAGATCCCGCTTCGCTGGGTTTTTATTTGTATGTAATAGTATAGTTTTTTTTATATATATATAAAAGACTGTTTTTCTAAGTAATCTAGAATCTAGCTGCGAGGACCCGCTTCGCTGGGCAAAAAGTAACGATAGTGAAGATTAAGATAATTACATTATAGCTAATCTTACCCGTTTTCACAGAATGCAAGAATTAGGTCCCCCGTTTCCAGACTAATTAGAGAATTTTTACGTTTAGTCAAACGAACTATTTTCAACGTTTCTGGAACGTTTACAATCGTTCTATAATCGAACCAATATTCGAATTTTATGTTCGAATTTAATTCGAACAAATTCGAACAAAACATTCGAAATAGAAAGCCACTTTCAACCACTTTCAGCCTCATATCTCCCGCACCCTTATAGCTATCGAGACGCAACCACCCCTATGCACGAATGGAGACTTGGGGCTACCACCACATACAAACACCATTTACGTGCGATGTGTAGTTTTGGCGAAAAAGTGAAATATAGGGACATACATGTCCATATATATATATATATAGATAAGTAACTAATAAATTTTTAACAGACATATCCATTCGTGACTATTGTTCCTGCTTCGTTATCTTATATGTCAAATAGCTCAAAAAATGTTTCTGCTAAAATCAGCATAAAAGATTGTTATTAATACTCGTAGAATGCATATTGTTTATAATTTCATCGAAATGGAAGAAAAGTGATTGGTAGAAAAAAACTGAAAAATTGCACTAGCCTAAATACATTATAGAAATCGATATATAGATTTGTCTTATTTTAAGTCACGTAATAGATATTGTTTTAACTCATGTCACATGTATTTCTCATAATTAAAATCTTGCAGTTGGTTCTTATTGCTTGTAAGCACTTGCAGTTTATCATTAAGTTTTTGATGTTTAGGTCGTGAGTGGACTGCATAACATACTCACTTACTCACTGTACAGTACATATGTACAGTGATTAAATGAATATATATTTGTACAGTATATACGGTACATATATTGTCAATAATTACACCAGATGTTTTCTTCATATTAGAAATATGAAATGTTTTCGAAGATTACATTTAAATTATGGTAATTTCTAAAAGCTTCTTTTTAAACTTTTTATCTATAGCTTACATAAAGAAATAGAAAACATTGTTAAAAGATGTTACATTTTATACTTAATATATAAATTTTTATTTTATATATTTATCGAAATTTTTATATTTGTCATAACCAATATTAAAATTTTAAATGTGTACACTCGTGCCCAAAAAATAAACATAACCACTAATTTGGTCCATATTTCAAGAACTACTAATCAGAACAGCGTAAAACTTAATGTATCGATACACGCATAACATTCGTTTTTTTATGCAACAAAATAATTGAAAAACAAAAAAAAATTATTTAAATTATATTAAATAAAAATACTAAGGTATTGTTGTAAACGTTTTTGCACAGAAAATATTGAAGCAACCATATGCCATATTAATTGCGTTATAACCACCATGAGCGATCGTTTATGATGGTTATAACGTTGTTTATAAGCCCTTTTGGGAGTATAGTTTATTCTTGAATAAGAATAATCTTCTGAAGTATTCTTGGTGGAAGCCGACGAGATGCAATTTTGTCTTCTTAGAACACTCCGCATGTGTTCTATGGGATTCAAGTCTGGTGATCTCGCTGGCTATTTCAGAGGAATATCTTCACTGTCAAGAAAATCTTTGACGAGTGCAGCCTTATGTGAGGATCCATGAAAATTAAATCTGCACTTACAGCTCTTTGGAAAAATTTCACGTGGGTTCCCAAAACCTCATTTCTTTTCATCTTGCAGTAACGGCAAGACAAAAACGTGAGCTCGTTGCGGTCCCAGACTATGATACCGTCACTTCAAAATGGTTTTTTCCCACAATATTCAAGGGACCGTACAGGGTTTCTCGTTCTCATCAGATTCTAATCCCAATAGCGCGTTATAGTTTTATGTGGTCCGGGCAAAATTGAATTACAATGTTTGAATTGAAAAATGTTTGAAGTCAAACACTGTACTGTACAGTGTTAGATTGTACTGTACAGTGTAGATCCGGGGACCTTAGATTATTGGTGTGGCGCAGAACTTAAGTTCTGCGCCACACCAACAATCTAAGGTCCCCGGATATCGCACCAAATTTAAATTTCGATATTCTTACTACAGTAATAAAACATTGGTTTTGGAGCCAGGCAATTGCCCTTTTTGCTCATAGGATAACGTGCCACTGTCTAATCCGATGTGAATCATTCTGTAGGCTCTATCTGAACTCCTATTTATGGATTAGACGATTATGACGATTATGCTTATTTTTTGGGTGTGTGTGTGTGTGCGTGCGTGTGCATATATATATATATATATTATAATGATTTTACAAATGTATTTAATCAATTTTCAGTGTAGTCTTCGTGAAGAACATGTCATCAGAGAGTTGCGAAGCTTTTGTTAAAGAATATATAACGAACAATCAAATGTTTCGAAAAATAAAGAATGCAAAAGCATTAATAGATAAAAATTACTATACTGCCAAGCACACAATAGAGAAAACTGTAGATGAGGTTGAGTCAGTTATATTACATAATTTAGAAGTAATTTTTAAAAGTAAACTAGAATTTTTAAAAAACTTGGAAAAGAAATTCGAAAATTTTTCAAGTCCGGAAGATGCTGCTAAAACGTCTGAATACGAAGATATTTCTGAAATATCTGATTTCGATAGTGACATTGAATGTTGTGCTGAATTAGAGTTCAAATCAGAAAACCCATCGGACGCTAAATATTACTTTGGCTATATTAAATGCTTTCCACCTAAACCAGAAGATTTCACTTTGATAATTGTACAAGAAGAATTCGATATTGGAAAAGAATTTACTGTTTGTGCTAAAAGCGAAAAAGATTGGTGTCCTTCTCTGATATCTTCGCTTTTCGGATTTATGAAAGATGAAAGTGGAAGAGAAAAGGTGGCTGAAATTGTTGATAAACAAGATGGTTCCTATATTTTCTCCTTCCGCTTGGATAAATATTCCAAATACTTCATAGAAATAATGCTCTATGGTCGTCCTATCAAAAATAGCCCTGTTGCTATAGATATAAAAGCAAACGAAAACAAGTTAAGAAATAAAAACTTGACAAATATAGAAGACAAGAATTCTATAAAATCCTCTCTATCTTGTTTGGGTGATGTAAATAAACGTGATAGAAATCTAAATGAAGATGAATCGTTGAAAAGTTTTATTGAGCAGAAAAGTCAATGCTCTCCACTTGAAGGAGAAAAACCGGCTTCTGCCAGTACGCTTTATAGTGATAAAATAGAAAAGAATGAAAATAAAGATGCCAAATACAATTACGAAGATTGGTTTGAAGATTGGTCCGGTACGAATGAAAATTATAAAGCGAATGAAATATTGTTGCATGACGAAAAACCAGAGAATGATAGTAAGGAAGCATATTTAAATATTTAAAATAAATCTATTTAAATTTTAAAAAATCATTTAAAATATATTTTTCACTTATTATATATTTTTTAAATAAACAAGTCATTGAAAATGTTTTTCATGATTCTAAAACCGTGTAGAAAAATTACAAACAAATATGGCTTCTTGTTAATTTTATGGTTTATTTATATTTCTTTACAGGAATAATTCCTTCGGTTAATGCTCGTTTACTTGCAATTATATCCGAAAGCAGCGGTGTAAATCTAAACTTTCCTTTTGGAATCGAAGTGAATTGCAATAATGACATTATTATATGTGATACAGGACATAATTTAGTATGGATCTTGGATGAATATGGAAAACCTAAAACTTCATTTCAACAAGCAAAAGAAGGTAAATCATTAAATAAATTTTGTTAAATGAAAAGATAATTTGTAATTAATTAATTTTTAAATAGGAGTCATGTTTAAAAAACCGTCATCAGTTGCTGCTACTGTAGATGGCAATATTGTTATTAGAGACGATAATGGTCTTTATTTGTTCAATCGTGATGGAAACTATATAAGAAGTTTTGAAGACGAATTACTTAAAAAACCATTTGGTAAATCTCTTTAAAATTTATTTATTAATATAGAAATAACATAACACTAACGAATATAATTCTGAAAATTATAAACTGATATTTATTTTAAATATTTAGGGCTTGCTGTGACTGAGAGTAAGAAAGTGATAACATTGAACGAAACTACAAATCAGCTGTTAGTTTTTAATGAAAGCGGTAAATTGGAATGTAGTAATGTTTTTGAACCATTGATCGATAAACCAAGAAATTCGAAATGTTGTTATATGGTTTCCTATTCCGACAAAGTTGTCCTATCCGATTTTGGTATGTGAAAAACAAAAAGTTAATTATTTTAAAGAATGATCTTAAATTAAACAATTTTTATTATTAGGTACGAATCAAATCTACAAAACTACATTAGATGGTAAATTAATTAAAATGTTCGGTAGCTACGGTAGAGCTCCAGGGAATATGATTCGACCGTCTGGTATTGCTTTAGATCCATATGGTACTATGCTTATAGCAGAGACCGGCAATGACCGCATTCAGGTAAAATATTTAATAAATTATTTTATAGAAACTTTACAATCAATAAATGTAAATAAAATTCGTTTTCAGATTTTTGATTGGGAAGGAGATTTCTTAGGCGAAGTCACATTTTCTCATCCAATTCATAAACCATTCGACATAGCAATAACTAAATACGGGCGCTTACATGTTCTCAATACTTTTGATCACTGTTTAGCTGTTTATCATCTCGAAACAGATAAATAAGTTTTAATTTTATAATTTCAGATATGCATCATTTTACAGTTGAAACTTTTTTGAAAAACATATTCTGTTGGTTAAAATGTTTGAATGAATAATTATACAATTTTTTTATGTATTCCTTATTGTTTACTTAATCTTTGTATAAATTATTAATAATAATGTTTAGTTTATTAAGTAGCATATAGTGATATTTCATGAAATGTTTATTAGTATTTTTTTGTTTTATTAATAACATATTATTTAACAAATGTATCATAAAAAGTATGTAAAACTGTTAAATCCATATAAATTTTGTACCGTTTTGTCAATTAAAAGAAAATATTAAACTTCATTCTTCAGTTTTTTAAAATTTTACTAATTTTGAAGCTTTAATTTATTCTTTGTTTTAATTTATTACATTTATAAACTTTAAATATTTAAAGTTACATCAGTCAATAGTTAACAAATATAATTAGTACTATTAAACGTCTTTAACAATTTTTACATATAATAAACTAACTTAATTAAAAATTTATAATTCTTTATTAAAAATTGTCATTTTAAAAACTAAAAATATATAAATTTCAAACGTGAAATCTAGCTAAATTCATATTTATTTGTTTTCTTTTTATAGTGCAAAATTGTATTTTTATTTCGGTTTAGTTTGCTGTAATTTATTCGAATTATTGTTTTGCGTATCTTATTCTAGTTTTTCTGCAATGTATTGTCATTTTAACAATATTGTAAACTGTCTCATGATACACATTAACCTCTATTCTCGTGGCGTGGAGTATTTTAGAAATCTTTTATCTCCATTACGGAATTTTTCTCACGTATCTCCTTAATGAGAGCGTGCATAGCCTTAGGGAACTCGTACCATACTCTAAAAACCACTTATCTATCCTACATCCATAAGATTCTTGGTTGCATAAAAAAAAAGAAGATTATCAGGTGACTCCCAAAAGTTTCTTGGAGGTCGGTGATCCAAGTTTGATTTAAATTGAAAATTAATTATAATAATTGTCATGAAGAAAACACGGATGAGTAGTTTTTAGTATGATGAAAGAATATATTCTTGTATATTTTAAAGTCAAATGTTTTATAAAATTTATCAAATAATTACGAGAAAATTTAGTAGATAAATATACAATAATTCGTAAAAATTATTGATAAACTTTATATACATACGTATCTATCAATTACAATAAAACGTTTAAGAATAGAACTTTCAGTTATATCGACTATCTTCAGTAAAGGATCGTCAGATTTTATAAAGATTTTTGTTTAAATTAAAATTTACACTTAACAAATAAAAAATTAACACGGAATTCTTACAGATTTTTTTTTATTTATCCATTTAAATTATCAATTGAATTTTATTGTTTCAATTTAAAACGATGCTGTTAATATTTACAAACAATACTACTAAACATAAAATTCATAACGTCTGATTTCAAACAAAATTATTTTGTGATATTTTTATAAAAAATTAAACTTTTATTCAATATAAAATTTTTCTTTATTTACAGCAGAAATTAAGTATTAAATCGAATGCAGTTAATGGTATTCAACCTTGTACATGGTCATTGCCATCGTAGAAACGAATAAATTTAAATGCTGGCTAGCAAGTTTACGTTCTGGATAGCTATATAATAAAATAATTATAAAAACAATTCCATTTTATAATAGACGTAATGCAAAATTTATATCAGTTTCACACAAAAGAAGTGTCAGTTTTGCGAGATAAAATTGCTTCATTATATTGAAGCAATTTTATCTTACTAAGCTGATCTTTCTAATTATTTAACGCCAGGTAACATAATGTTTTCAATGTTTCGGAAGGATTACATTTAACAATAAGAATGCACTACTATATTATGCTCAACAATCGATTTTTAAATCACTGTTTCTGAATATTTCCACCTACACCTATTATTAAAACAGTGGGATTATTTAAAAGGAATAGGTTTACATGAAAGTGAAGTTTCTGTGGAAAAAAATGATGTCATTGCAATATTTCTTTCGCATACATAAAGATTAGATCATATATTTTTTTAAATTTAAGACCTATGTCACAAAACGTTATTTTTTATACATGATTGTGTGTGTATGACGTATTTTATGTTAAAAAAATTATTTTATGGCTGATTTTGGCATTTTCATGATTTTAAATTATCATAATTCTTAATTGTTTTATTGTAAGTTTCTAAATAATTTTTAAAATATGTTTTTTTTGAAAGCAGATACGACAATGTTTATGAAGTTAATGTTTTACATGAAAGCATACATGAATATATTTAGTTGACAAGACCAGTTTAAATAACCATTCTGCTTATTACGGTACAGTATAATTTGTACAACTAATAGTAAGTTGTTATTATTGTTTCTTATTCTTTTTTAAAATAGAATACATTAGCTAACATACTGTAAATAACAATGATCTCAGGGATGCGTTTGACCTTATTCGACCCCGTCTCTCAAGGTATCTGACCCTGAATGCAACCATACAGAAATGTGTCAGGGACAAGCGTGATTCGCAACTTCACATTCCTGATAAGCAAAGCGTGTTTTCATACTAGGATAGGTAACGTTGTCAGTTATTATTCTACAGAATTGATGGAGGAATGTCGTGAAGCAGATGCTAATAATGATGCTTAATATTGGCGTCAGTTGTTAAAACGAGAACACGTTTCACTTTTAATTATTAAAAATGTATATTTAAATATAAAAAGTTTATTTAGAATAATTTATTTCCATTCCATAGAAATGATTATTTACGAGAAGGGAAATAATTTATGATATTTATGTAATTCCACGTGTAGTATTCTTTATTATCTAATTTCTAACAATACAAATTTAATTGAAGTTTGTCCTGATTCATAAACTTTCCATTTAAATATGGCCTACTAATGCTGTAAATAAGAGTCAAACCTTTATATAAACTTTCAATCTCGAAGGTCAAGGTGAGATTGTTCCTCATCCAGACGGAAATATGCGTGGGTACAGTGACGTCACCTGAGGGAATAAATAAGAGAAAGTGCAGATGTCGCTAGTAGACTCATTCCCCTATCAACATGAAGTTCGTCTGCTGCTACTTACTGTTTGTAACTTTTTTCCAAGGAACTCTTACCACTTGGGATACTCACGGTAAATACTCTTTTATTTAAATATTTCATGTATATATTTATTTATTTATGTTTTAAATTTTATTCTGAACAATTATTTATATTTAAGAAATGAGTGTTTTCAAAAAATTTTTTATAAATAAT